TCTCTGGGCCGTTCGGGGGCAGAACTGGCCAGAACGGAGGAGGCAGAAAAGGAAAACTGGCATCTAATGAGCTACTGCTCCCCTAAGGCCTATGAGCTGGAGATTTTGAACAAGTCACATCACTTATTCGGGCCTTTCCATCCCCACTGTACAACGGTGACAGGGTTGGCCGACCCGAGGTCCAAAGTGGTACCGAGGGCTGCAGGGACAGGAGCTGTGATTTCCCTTTCTGAATGGCTAGAGCGGGGAGCGGGTGGGCGGAAGGTTAGTAAGGGGCGAGGAGGGTGTGGTGGGAGGTGGGGGGTGTCTGAGTTCTGCCCCCCCCCCAGTACTGGAGATCACACACAGGAGCGCTCTACCACTGAGCTACATCCCAGCCTTTTTAAACACTAAATTGCCCAGGCTGGCTTCAAATTTGGGATCCTCCTGCCTCAGCCTCCAAAGTGGCTGAGATTACAGACTTGCACCACTGTGCCCCACTGGTTCTGACTTTTCTTATGCCTGATGGTAAGAACTGCACATAGCAAAAGCTGAAATCCTGAGGCCCCTGGATAAAGTGGCAAAGGTGTTTTCTGACAGAACAAGTAACTTCCTTTCTTGCCCTTATCTTTGGTTTTGAGGGTTGCCCCGAGTGCCAAATGCTCTGAGGTTCTGTGGCTTTTTTCCCCCAAGTACTGAGGATTGAACCCGGGGCCTTCACACTGAGCTACATCCCAGCCCTTTTTATTTCTTTTAAAATTTCGAGACGGGGCTGGGGGTTTAGCTCAGTGGTTCTGCAGCCTGCCTCGAAAGCGCAAGATCCCAAGTTTGATCCCTGATACCAAAAAAAAATTTTTTTTGAGACAGGGTCTTGCTAAGTTACTAAGTTGCCCACGTTGGGCTCAAAGTTGGGATCTCCCTGCCTCAGTCTCTGAGATGCTGAGATTTCAGGCGTGCATCACCACCCCTTGCTCTCAGTGGCTGTTTCAGTGGATGCCACAGGTCATATCCTCCTTTGCTAAGTGGCAAGGTCTGGAGGGGCCTCCAGAACCCAGGCTGCTCTTCCCTGGCATTGGGTCAGGTGGGGTTCTCCGTCCTCACCAGGAAACCACCCCGGGCGGAAGCTGCCGCCGCAGCCTGCGCTCACCTTTGTATCTGGGGAGACCCGGTTGCCTGTTCTTCTGAGAACAGCCTCTAGGGGCGGGGCTGCCCCCTGGAGGCCCCATGACTTCGAGCCCCTACCGGGCTGGATCCACATGTACTGGGCACTCTGACTACTTCTTGGAACAGTCGGTTCCAGGCATGCAAATGAAGGATGGCAGGACAAATCCTTCCCAGAAATTAATGTGTGGCAAGAAATAGATCCAGAGGCATAAAGAACCACCTGAAAGTTGGAGGGATGAAATACTGGAACAGCCACCAGGGCAGTGACAGCAGCCCCTTCCCTTGGGTCAAGACTAAGTGGAAAAGTCTCCCTCCAGCTGCAGAACCCACAGAGAGCCCTGTGTGGGGGCAAGAAAGAGTAGCGAGGATGTACAGGCCACACAATGATGGCCAGTGCTTCATGGCTCTCACCCTACAGTAGCACCATTCTAACACTTCATAGGAATCTAACCCTCACCAAAGCAACCGCTGCCGTAGATAGGAGTTTTAGGTCCATTCTACAGATGGGAAGACTGAGAATCAAGTTCACTTAACACAGTCACATGGAGCTACAATTCCTACATCTTGCCGCTGGTCGTCTTCAACCACGATAAACGCATGACTGTCCCATCAGGCAGCTATTTATTAATTTTATGAGTAAAAAGACCGATAAAAGTGATTAGACCCATTTGTACCACCAGTGGTTCAAGCCAGCGGGGACCTGTTAACTTGCCTAAGATCAGAGCAAGTGGGGGAACCCAGGGAACCCCAACAACGTGTCTGTAATCAGCTCTCTGCCTCTTAGGAAAACTGCATAGGAGCTGGGTACAATGGTGCACGCCTGCAAACCCAGCTACTCAGTAGGCTGAGGCAGAAGGATAAGAAGATCAAGGCCAGCCTGTGCAACTCAGTGAGACCCTACCTCAAAATGCAATTTAAAAAGGGGCTCCTGGGCTGGGGATTTAGCTCAGTGGTTTCGCCACCTGCTGCGCAACTGCAAGGACCCAAGTTCGATCCCTGGTACCAAAAAAAAAAATGGGGGCTCCCTCCAGCTGGAGGGCTGAGGATGAGGTCAGCACTCCCTGCACTCCATCCTCAGTGTTACCAGAGGAGGAAACAGTTGAATGAATGTGGAAACTGGTGACCAGAGTGGTCAAGTAACACCCAGCCCCAGGAATGCAAAACCCAGAACAGCAGTGACTTTTGTCTGCTGAGTTCCCTGCTGCATCCACAGTGTCTACAATGCTGACACCCAGTAGGTGCTCACTAATAGAAGCCTGGTTGTATGAATGAATGAAGAGGGTTACACACACCATAGCAGTGACCTAGGGATTTGAACCCAGGCCTGCCTGGCTCCCGGCTTCGCTCCTTTGCTGCTTCCTGTTTTAACTGCCCCTGTGTGGCTCCCCTGGCTGGCCCTTCCATCCTCAGAGTGTTATCACCCTGCACTGTCTGAGACCTCTGGCTCAAGACAAGCAAATGCAGTGTCAGCTGGAACCTGCCTAGATCAGGAAGGGCCACACAGCAAATCCCAAAGCCAGGCGAAACCTTGTTCCTACTCAGCCATAGCCTCCCCTCGCCTCAGGATGCCTCGGTACAAGGAAGGGACTGGCACGCGATTTTTCCAGCCTGGTGGTCCTTTCTGGACCTGCTGCCAGCTCCCTTCTGCCCCTCTATCTACTGTTCCCCTGCAGAGCTACCCAGGCTTGGCAGGGAAGAAAGAGGAGACCCAGCCAGGTCAGGACAAAGATCAAGCAGCGGCCAATCAAGGTCAGACACAGTCCCCCTGGGGTGCGGAGGCCCCAGGTGGTCGGCGGGCCAGAGGCTTCCCCAGGCATCTCCGAAGCCCGGCCCTGCAGTGCTAGCCAGGCCTCCGTGCACCTGCTGCCCTGCCCCAGGGCGAAAGGCTAGAATGAGCTCCAGCTGCAGCACAGGTCAGCGGGCCCAGGCCAGCTCTGGAGAGGGCTTCCCAGGTGCTGCCAGATCTTCCACGAGGCACACGCTTTGCCTTGGGATTGAAAACCAACTCCAGTCCCAGGTGAAGCCAGTCAGACTCCTCCATGAGGAAAGGGCATTGTCTACACAAACACCAACACCTTTTTCTTCCCCTGCTCTTCTATGGATGTCAGGCCCCCAAGCTGAAGAGGAAATGTGCTTGGATGAGCCTCCCACCCTGCAAGAAGAGACCCCAGGCTGCCTGGGAAGAGCCTGTGGACCACAGAGCAAAACGGGCCAGGGCTGAGTGAGGCCATCCCTGGGACACCTACCACAGCCTCCCTCTTCCCCTTTCTCCAAAGCCCCAGTGCCTCCCTGGGCCAGGTGCACAGGGGAGGTGGTAAGGGTTAAGCCCAAGAGGTTTCCAGAAAAAGCAGGCAGGGGACTAGAGGATGAGGCCCGGATGTGTCTGGATCCATGCAGGTCAGACACTTGGCGCACAGAGAGAAAAGCCAGGAGTGCAGTCAGCGGGCACTGTCCATCCCCCAGGGCATAGGGGGGCTGGGGCTGGATGCCCAGGCCAGGCTACAGTGTGCCTCAGTGGACCCCTGATGCTGACTCACCCCCTGGGGCCCTGACACACACTGCAGCTTGCAGTGCCTGCCAGGCCACCGATTGCCACCAGGATGCCAGGCACGTCCCTCTGCATCAGAGCTGCCTGCCCCCTCCCACCTGCCCCTCTGGCTCAGCCTCAGGGGCATCTGGCAGGGCTGTTTTTGCTGTTTTCCAGTGCCTCTGCTGACCAGAGATGTCTCCAGCAGCTGGAAATCTAGACCTGGACTATGCAGGGGGAGACGGCTGGAAGGACTAGGGGCCACCTTGTTCCTCACTGTCACCCCTTGAGATGGAGTGGCCAGGTTAGCAAGAACTGGAGAGAGTGGCTCAGGACAATCGATTTCACCGAGATGCCCCCTTCAGCAGCGGCAGCAGGGGGGAGACCCTGCGCCAGGCCCTCGGGGTCAGGCTCCAGTCTACCCTCCCGGTGCCCCCAGACCCTGTGCATTTCCGGTCCTCGTGCCCAACCCATTCCAACCTGGGCCTCCCACCCCTGCCAGCCTCGACCCTCCCTCGCCCCACTGCAGGGGCCCCGCGCCTCCTCTGTCCTTGCACCGCGCTGCCCTGGGGAAGGCACACTCTATCTCTGCAGGGAACTGGGGGTGCGGAGGGAGAGGCCTCGGTGCACGGTGGGCTGGGGCCTGAGGCACCTGTGGAATGAGGCAAGGGATGGAGGGGAGGAGCCCCCTCCCTGGGGTGGGGGAGCTGGAAAGGACACTGCTTCTCTTTTAGTTAAAACGGAAAACCCTGTGCCCTGGGTGGGGGACACAAGTGGGAAAGGTACGTGGAAGAACGCAGAGAGGGCAGTGGGCTGTCTGCACCCGGGGGCGCGGGTGCTGCAGGGGCCGAGCGTCACAGTAGTGCTGAGTCATGAGATTTGGAGGTGGCAGGGCGCTCCGGCCCCCACGTCCTGCTCCCCGGGACCTGGCTTCCAGGCAGGCCCCTGTCTGCTCCCCAGCCCCTCTCCGGTCCCGGCCTGAGCTCAGCGGACCCTCCCCACTCCTCCCACGACGGCAGGGCTGGGGATCCCGAGGCATGAGGTGGGGGCAAAAGAGCCCTCGCTGGGAGTGTTGGGGAGCAGGAAAGCGGGGCGGGGGTGCAGTGCCGGCTGCCCCTGCCTCGCAGCGAGACCCGAGAGGACCCCTTCCCCGCCGGCCCAGCCCGCAGAGAGCTGACTCCCCACGCCGACCTCCCCTGGACGCCCGGCGCGCTCGGCCTCCAACTTCCCGCCCCCGCCCGCCGCCCGAGCCGAGGCCCCGGCGCCCTGCTCGCGCCGGGAAGGAGAAACTTTGGAGGGGAGGTCGGCCCCGCGGCGGAAGCGGACTCACCCGAGCGCGGCCGCGGCAGGCAGGGGGTCCCGGGTCTCCGTGCGTCGGGCTGCGGGGTGCGCGGCGCCGGCCACGGCTCGAGGCGGTGTCCGGTCCCCAGGGCAAGGAGTCCCCGCTCCGCCCCGGCCCAACTCGGCGCGAAGTGCCTCTGCCGCAAGACTTGCTGAGCTGGGCGGTCTGCGCGCGGCGGAGGGAGGGGACCTGATCGATGGGCGAGCACCGGGCGCTGCAATGCGGGGAGGAGCCCGGGCGGGCGGAGGCCGGGCCGGGGCGGGGCGGGGCCGGGCTGACGGTGGGACGAGCTCGGCGCCCCCGCCTCCGGCTCAAGGTCAGAAGAGCGGACGGGCCGCGTCCCCCCACCGGAGGGAACGGGCTGCGCGCTGGAGCCGGCTCTTCCCCAACCTCCGGAACCCGCTGCAGCCCCAGGCTAATTTATTGGGCTCAGGCGCCCCATAAGCATTTTGGGATCCTCGAACCCCTTTTCTCCTGTCTTCCCCCAGTAAGGCGATCTCTGTACTGCTCACCGGGATGGTGGGGGCTTCAGAGCCTACAGAATCAGGGTTCCTGGGGAAAGAAAATACTCCTGGCGGGGAGAGGAAGGGACGCGAGGGAGGTTGGAGGGAACTGCTGCCGGCCCGACTTTTGCTCCCGCGTGAGGCGTGCCTTTAGGGTAGGAGTTACGGTCAGTCTGCGGGTGGGGAGACACCCTTGACTGCAAGTGGTGTGTCGAGGCAGAGCCTGGAAGACAAGAGTTGCAAGCTCGAGCCGAGCCCTTCCTAAGGAACCGGGGCCGCCAGGGCCCCGGGCGGGGTTTGGGGGGCGCCAGGCGCTCTCGGGGCGCAGTTTGCGCACTTGAACGCTTTTGGAACCAACTTTTGTAACGGGACTATAGCGTCCTGCCTCTCTGCTGGGCACCAGCGACTCTGCCGGAGATCAGCCTTCGCCACTTCCTTGTGCAGGAGAAAATGAGATGAAACGAAGGCAAAATGAGAGGATGCAAAGAGCAAGTGGGATTTCAGGGTTGGGGGGAGAGAAGAGGCAGGGCCGGGGGCGGGGGGGTCAATCATCTCGCCAATAATCCCAGCTAGAAGGCAGAGGCATCCTAGTCGGCTGGCTTCAAGGCAAAGGGGACAAGGGGCTGAAACCTCAGCGCCTGCACCACCGAAAGGGGACGGGGTGCTCCGGGCAGCCCTAAGGGAGTGTGAGGCCCGCAGCGCCCGGCAGCGTCTGCAGAGCAGCCGTCAAGGAGGGCAGCAGAGGAGCTGGGGAGGCACGTTTGACTCTGAGAGAAGAGACGAGGCTAGTGACAAGGCTGCTCCTCTTCCCCCTCAAAGAGGATGCCTAGTCCCGCTCCAACTAGTTGTGTGCCAGGACTTGTTGCTTTGCCACAGGGACAGGCACTGCTCGCTCGGGTCTGCCCTGTCCCCATCCGGACAGCAGTGACAGCCACAGACAGGGGCCGCAGACCCCTGCTAACTGGCTGACTCTGCCCACAGCCCATCAAAGCCTGTGTCAAACGGGTCCCCACATCGTCTCCTGAGCACACCCAGAAACTGAAGATCGCAGGAAGCCAGCCTTCCTTTCCAGACTGCTGGGAGAGTCAGTGCTCCAGTCAATCTGGTTAAATGAAAAATGTGCCATCCCCCGGCTACAGCTTTAATGTTCTTTTAATTCGCCAGGACCAATAGCGTCTGGGTTATAAACTTAATCAGCAGCCCAGCAGCTCTCTTGCTTATTCCTGCAGGCTTCAGGAGCTGGAAGAGTAGAGAGGAAAGGGTATCCACCTCCTCCACACCCTGCCTATTATTAGATATTTCACTTTCAATTGTTCATTATTTTAAAAAGATGAGCCCTTCATAGCCTTAGACTGTCACCATCTATCTAGAGGCACAAGGGCAATCCTCCTACCTCCACACAAGACCATTTTGAACCCATGAATGGTGGGTGTTTGCCTTTTGGGGGAAGTGTGAGACATAGTCTCACTATGCAGCCCAGGCTGGGCTCAGACTCTCAGTCCTGCTACCTCAGCCTCCCAGAGCCAGGATTACAGGTGTGCACCCCATGCCTGCCGAGGATCTGCCTAGCACTGAGTTACCCACAGAGAAAGTCCACACCCGCTTGATTGCTTGATTACATCGCTTCACCACTTTCTCCTGAATAGTGAGTGCCCTGGGCAGCTCCATTCTCTGGTGTTTCCTAGGTGGGACAGAGAAAGGAGAGCAGAGCAGCGTCTCCTCCCAGCACAGCTCGCCCAGGGACCAGAGCCCTGTCCATCCCACCCCCCGCTGCTGCCCAAAGCCTTGCACTTTTCTTCTTGCTCACGGGTCCGCTAGCACTCACTTGGATTCGACGCTCTGGCTGAAGTTGTAGACCTCACACCGCTTCTCAAAGCGCTTGTCCAGAAAAGGTCCTTCACCTCTGCAAGCCCTGGCCAGCTGCCCTTCCTGCCTTCTCTCCACCCTGTCAGCCCTGCACACGTCCAGCTTGCTCTCCTGGGTTGGCTGGAAGTGTTCCTGACAATTAGGCACGATAGCCAGTTGAGGTGGCAGCACACCTGCCTGCCTGACTGGAACTGAGCCTACTCGCAATTCGTGTCACTGAAGGTCTAGATTTCCTTTTTCTAATCTGATTTTATAGACATACCAAGCCTAAATGTAAATTTTATTTGTTAATATATTCATACTAGAGTCCACTAGTATGGACTTTCATAGAAATGTGTTCAGTATGAGAGACATTAACTCATCAGATGGAGGGGGATGAAACAGGGTTAAAATAAAGTTAAATGTCATACAATCTACATGATATCTTTTTTTTTTGGTACTGGGCATCAAACTCAGGACCTTTTGCTTGCCAGGCAGGCACGGTGCCACTGAGCTAAATCCCCGGCCCATCTTGATATCTTGAGTTTCAATTAAAAATGAAATCCTGTTCTCCTAACAAGTGGAGAAAGGCAGCTCTTCCAAGGAAGCTGATTTAGTGGACCATAATTATTCTCTGAGCTATGGACAAAGAGTAAAACAGCACTGAGCTCAAATAAAATCCTTAGATACACCTGAAGGGGAAGAGAGAGGACTACTTATCGATAACTTTACCTCAGAGAAAGGACCATATGTGGCCTATGGAAGAAATTCACTAAAGAGTAAATAATAATCACAGGGCTTTATCAGATCCTAGAAATTAGAGAACATCACGAAGACTTCATCTTTTCATATTCTTCTATCCCATTTGTCTGAAAGTAAAAAGTTTTTCCTCTTCTCAGATTCAAAGGGAATATCATGGAAATTACCAAAGCAGACTATTCCTCCTTCCTCATAGAGCACTCATGTGACACACAGCATTATGTCCAAGGTGAGTGATCCCCCCTCTCCTAGAGGATTATCTGCCTGGTGTAGAAGCTGCCACCCCAACTGCTCCACTCGTGCCCTTTGGTAAGTCTGCAGATGAGGAAGAGATGCTCTATGCCCACAGCGTGTGGCTCCTGGAATGTGAGGAACCAATGGCCCAGAACTAGCAATCGCCCAAGGAGGGTGGCTGGCTTTCCTTGTCGGAGGGCGATCATGGGCTTTGAAGCTCCCCATCATGAGAGGAAAAGCAAGTCAGTTGAAACGCTTTCTGAATAATTAACCCTGGCACATTAACATCCCAGTGTCCATGCGAACACTGTATAAATCAGGGTGGTATCAGAACTGCCCTTGGGATGAGCCCTAGCTGTGGGAGATGAGCACTACAAGCCACAGGAAGGGCCATCGGGAAAGATGCTTTAGGATTGACACCTGCCTCATTTGGTGTCCTGAGCCCTCTGCCACCCTTCTCTGCACCACAGGAGCAAATGTGGAGCAAAATCTCTTGACGCTTCAGATTCATCCTTGTGCCCATTGTCTTTTTTTTTTTTTTTTGGTACCGGGATCAAACTCAGGTCCTTGCGCTTGCAGGGCAAGCGCCAGAACCACTGAGCTAAATCCCTGCTCCCCCCCCCCATTGTCTCTCCAGCAGTGATAGTTTACCACCCAGCTCTCAGGATATTGTCTGTCACTAATGCACCTCAGGGAGCTCAAAGCTCCTCCAGGCAGGGTGTGAGATACTCCTATATGCACCAAAAGAAAGTAGAAGGTGCCACTGCAGCATGAGCCTCGGACTCAAGCTGGTGGAAGGGCGGGAAGTGCTGGCAGCCTTCCCTGATGGAGGAAACTGCCAGCTGCCTCCAGAGGGACTGGTGCTCCAGGGAGGCAGTGAAGAGAAAGACGCGCTGGGCAGAAACCACAGCAGTAGGATGACAACACACAGTGCGTGCACTGAAGAGCTTGAGCCTTAGAGCCAGAACGCTCTGTGGTCTTGGACACAGGGGTTAACCTAAAGCCTCCATCTCCTTATTAGTTGGAGACCTCACCACCTCCCTTGGGATCGTTGTGAAGATTAAAAAACATAATGTTTATAAACACTGAGCAGAGCCTTAACAAAAGGTAGCTACTATTATTATGGCCAGGGAGTGAAAAACTACTCCGTGAGGCCACAATGTAAAGTGTATTGGGGAAGCAAAAGCAAAACCATGTTAGGTTCTGCAGACCAGTGATTGGGTTTTCTTCCACAGGCAATGGAAATCATGTAAGGAGTTACATGCATGAGAAACTCAATTAATCTGTTTTAGAAAAACCACTCACATCTGGAGCTAGGTCAGCGGGCCTGTAAGATCCATTCCTGCTGGCCACGTAGTCTAGTGCACACCAGTTCGGGTTCTAGTCACACTACCTGGATTTGAATCTTGGCTCATCTCTTACAGCCCACATCCTTGGGCAGGTTGATTCGCTCAAAGGAGTGAGGATGAGCTGAGGTCATCTGTGCCCAGCACAGCCTCTGATTCATGAGTGCTGGGCATCACACTGCTACTCTAGCTTTGGGAGGCCAGCAAGTCTAACGATGCTGCCCACATCACTTGCCCCAGAGTGGATGAGACTTTCCTGAGGAAGCCCAGTGAGCCTAGAAGCCATGGGGTGACTGTCTACGTCCTCATACTCACTGCCTGACTGGGGGAACACCCTGAGCTAGGACAGTCCACCTCGGACTCCTGGCGGAAAACTGCCTTGCATATGGCCTATTTAGACAGAAGATCCTGCTGTATGCAGTGGAGACCCTGAGCACTGCAGCCTGAGGTCTTTTTCCTGGGTTTGGAGCACTGATGAGCACTTCTACCTGGATAAAGCTGTGTCCCAAAAAGAGTCCTACCTGGGGCCACACCTGCTGAT